CCGAGCCGCCCGGCCGCCCACCAGCCGAGCCGCCGTGCAGCCGACCGCCCAGCCGCCGAGCCGCCCAGCTGCCGAGCCGCCCAGCCGCCGAGCCGCCCAGCTGCCGAGCCGCCCAGCTGCCGAGCCGCCCGAGCAGCCCTGTCCGGTGAGCACAGACCCTCTGTCACTGCGTGCTCTTCCCCTACTCCTTGCACTGCTGGTCTACTGCTGTCATGGCTACCCCCAGTGTCCTCACTTTTGACGCTGAGGGTCGGGCCATTGACTTTGAGGTCTGGGTAGATGACCTACAGCTGTTCTTACAGTGCGATAGGGCGGACGGCCTCTCTCTCTTTGACCTCACCTCTGGCGCTTCCCCTGCCCCTGCTGCTGATGCTGACGCCACTGTTCGCTCCCAGTGGGCCACGCGCGATGCTGCTGCACGTCTTGCTGTGCGTCGCCACCTCCCTACCTCCGAGCGTGCGCACTTTAGTCAGTACAAGAGTGCTCAGACCTTGTACGCCGCTGTAGTCGCGCGCTACTCCTCCCCTTCCACTGCTGCACTGAGCCGTCTCATGCTGCCGTACCTCTTCCCTGACCTTGCTTCTTTTCCCACCGTTGCTGACCTCATTACGCACCTCCGCACTAGTGACACTCGCTACCGCGCTGCACTTCCTGCTGACTTCTGCACCGCGAACCCCCCCCCCATGTACATCACTCTGTACTTCCTAGTCACTCGCCTCCCTGACTCCCTTCGAGTAGTCAGGGACCACTTTCTCTCAGTCTGTCCCACCACACTCACTGTAGACCTCCTCGAGAAGGCCCTCCTCGCGATAGAAAAGAGCATAGTCGCTGTAGGAGCCTCTCGAGGTGACCCGCGCACCCCCATCTTTGAGGGGTGTTCTCCCTCCCCCCTGCTGCCCTCTGTTGCCTCTGCTGCTTCGGCCGACCTCCTTGGTCTTGAGTCGGTCGGTGCGGCGTCTTCCCCTAGCGGGAGACGCCGCTCTGGCAAGGGCAAGGGGGGCAAGGGAGCTGGAGGAGCGGGCGGTGGAGGTGGAGGTGGAGGCAGTGGGGGGAGTGGGGGTAGCGGTGGAGGTGGAGGTGGGGGTGGGGGGTTCGGTGGCGGCAGTGGAGGCGGAGGCCGCGGCGGCGGTGGCGGTGGTAGCGGAGGTGGCGGAGGAGGCGGCGGTGGAGGAGGCGGTGGAGGCGGCGGCGGCAGTGGAGGCAGCGGAGGCGGTGGAGGCGGTGGGGGTGGCGGTGGAGCTGGTCGCGGGTCTTTGCAGAGGAGTGGCTCAGGTGGTGGCTCGCGCCAGCAGCAGCAGCGTGGTCGTGCGACCCTGTCCCCTCAGCAGCTCCGTGAGTGGTACACTGCACGCCAGCGGGGTGGGGGTTTTGGTCCGTGTACCTACGTCCTGCGCACCGGCGACCGTGCGGGTGAGCAGTGTGGGGGTGCGCACCCCACTCCGCGCTGCTTTGGCCGCCTGACGGACGCATGGCGTCACCAGTTCCCGGAGGCCTCCGAGATCCCTCGCTGGGACGAGCTGTCTAGGGCGGGGGTTGCCATCTTTGATCTGGACTTTGATGCTATTCTCTCTGCCATGTATGCTGTGTCTATTAGTGATGAGGGTGACTGTTACCGGTGTTTCCGGCCCGATCCGGGCATTGAGACTGCTGCTCTAGGTACCGGTGTTTCCGGCCCGATCCGGGCATTGAGACTGCTGCTCTAGGTACTGGTGAGGCATTGAGTCCAGTGGTCCTCACTGGGCACGCGGACGCTTCTTGGGCTGACGACCAGGCTACGCAGCGGTCGTCACAGGGTTACACCTTCAGCCTTGGTTCCGGCTCTGTTTCGTGGCGGGCTACTCGCTCGTCTTCTGTTCTTGGATCGAGTTGTGAGGCTGAGATCTACGCCGGGGCCATGGCTGCACAGGAGCTTCGCTGGCTCACCTACCTGCTGACCGACCTTGGAGAGCCGCCTCGTTCTCCTCCAGTCCTGTACGTAGACAACAAGGCCATGCTGGCCTTGTGTCGAGAGCAGCGACTGGAGCACAGAACAAAGCACATTGCTCTCCGCTACTTCCTTGCTCGTGAGCTACAGCAACGTGGACAGTTGCGGCTTGCGTACGTGGCCTCTGAGGCCAACACTGCTGATGTCTTCACCAAGGCACTTCCGCCTTGTGATCATCAGCGCTTCTGCACTCAGCTGGGTCTTGTGCCCGTCTTGCCTCACTTGCTCTCCTCTTGACCTTGCTTGTACTCTCACATATATATATACCTGCTCTTGCTTGTCTAGCTTTATATATATGTGTGTACTCTTGCATGTGAACTGGCCGTGTGGCCTTGACCCTGTGCTCGGACTGTGTGGTGACTTTGTGATCCACCCTGAGCTTGCTTTGCTTTACTTTGCTTGACTGGTCTTGTGACCCCTTGTTCTCCCCCACTTTGCCTATGGGGGTGTGTCAGAACATTATTGCTTATGCTGTTGTGTAGGCTATAGTGGGGTATCCCATAGGGGGTACAACCAATTAGGGTTTCATATTTGTACTCACTTCATTTCATAGTTCATTCATTCTTGTTCTAATCTTCTCAATCCCTTCCCGATTGGGTTTTAGTTTTTTTTGGTCAGGTAAAGGGATATTTTTTCCGGTGGCTTGCGAAATTTGTGACACGTGGATGAATGTGGGACCGAGTTCTGTGTTGTTGCCATAATGTTCCTGTCGGAGTGGCGGAAAGTGCCCGCATATAGCACTGTAGTCCCCTTGAAAGCGCAGGGTCGCTAGTAGTACCCCTGCGAAAGCTACTTACCCAAATATGAAAAGCATTGCGGCGCGGTGGACGTGCGTTGCACAAAAACATATCCACGAGCCGCGCGTACTGACATTTTCCCCCCATTTTGGAAATTGGAATTTGGAACACCGCCATTCCTTTTCTTCCAATCCCAAACCCCGCAGACCAAGTCCCCCCTCAGTTCGCCAACCTTGATTCGCCTTTCATCATCCCTCCCTCCCTCCCCTCGCTCTCCCCCTGAGCAATGTGTAAGCGGCACATCGATCTCCTCCCACGATCGATCCTGGCAAAATGAAAACAGGTGCTGCGTCCTAAAATCTGTGCCCCCTTCCCCTTCCTCCTCTGATGTGCTCGAACTCCGACTGCATTGCCTTGACTGAGCATTCCATCTCTCCATTTCCCACGCACGACAGACGGCTCTCACCGCCGGGGAACCAGAGAACGTGAATGACAGACGCGTCGCACCGCGCTCACCCCCCTGCAGTTCCAGTCAGACCAAACCAGACACGCAGTTCAGCACAGGGGATTGCAGTAGTCGCTCGGGGGTGCCGTTGTCAGAAGCCGTGGTGGAACTTGCCGTCCGTACTACTTTTGTCATTCCCGTCGCTTCTGCCCAGTACGTGTCTCTGGCTGGCCCCATCCCGGCTCGCTCGGGGGACTCTGGGTCGGTGGTTAAGCAAAGATGCCATGATAGTGGCTTGTAGCCATGAGTAGAGATGTTTCCATGAGTCCGCTCAGCCCCTGAGTTGCGACTTAGCCACGACCATCGCCAGCCGGCTTGGCATCACCAGTCGCTGTATCGGCCCGCTCGGAATACCGCCAGTCGCTTCGCATCGCCTTGTCGCTTAGCATCGCTGCCTGTCGCTTAGCATCACCAGCAGTTTAGCTGCCTGACACGTAGCATCACCAGCGTTTGGCTGCCTGTCGCTCAGCATCACAAGCCGTTTAGCCGTTTAAGCTCGCCCTGCGAGGCCTCTGTAGCTCGACCGCGATCGCAAGCTCGACGCCGTAACGACGACGACCGTACGATCTGTCCAAGTGTGGGATGACCCAACGATAGTGACGAGACGCTCAAGGGTACCCCGACCCGTTAGTTACTTCAATCCCCGCGCAGAAGAATATCGTACCCTAACTTATATTTCAAGAACTATCGCTCAAGGATGCCGAGACGTCTGTCCGGACATTTCCGAAGGATTAGCGTTTTGCTTTTGATGACTGTGCTATGTCTTAAAACAAGAACTTTCGAGGTTGAAGCTGCAAGTAGGAAGGGGAAAAATCGGCCGACACAATCGATATCGGGACCAGTCGTTTCTGCCGGAACAGGATTGACGCTGACGTTGCTACCCAACAACCGATACGGCGCGAAATGCCTGGACGGCAGGTAAGCTACTCGTAGATACGCACGCGATATAAATTGCACCTCGTGGTTTGGTCTGTGTCGGGTGACTTTTGAGACGTCTCAAGAGTTGGCCCGTGTCGGGTGGCAGGTTGGCGACTTTGGGCAGTGTTGGACGGCAGGTTAGTAGTTTGGGCTGTTCTGGCCGACAGGGTGAGGCTTGGGCAGTCATGTAACAACACACAGCTTGTCCAGGCTTGGGCTTGGACTGCAGTCGTGCAGTCTTTATCAGTACAACACACAGCTGGTTGATTCCCTCACATTCTACATACCCCCTCAGACACAACACCTGGTATATTTACTGGGTCATGCGGCTTTGTGCGCACTTTTCTCCGGCCTTGGTGATCCTCAGATGACTTTTGGTCGACTCGACTGTCAATCTTCTCCGCTGCTAGTAGTCTTCTCTCCTCTACGCCCCGCACTTAGCTCCCCGCACTTCGCTCCCTGCAATTCGCACCCTGCACTTAGCACCCCGAACCCCACGAGCCGTCTACGGCTCTGCGTTCAACGCCGACCGTAGGTACAATCGTACGGAAGCAGCAGCAATCTCGTTTGGTTATACTTTTCCTCCTTATCCCCCACCGTCCGCTAGGGTACTTTTCCTTCTCTCCCCATTTTCCACTCCGCTAACTCCGGTCTACACCCCCCCCCCCCTTCCCCTCTCCCTTCTCTTTCCCCCCTTCCCCCCCCTCCCCCCCTCCCTTTTCTCTCCTGCCACCCCGCTTCCTTCCCACCTCCCCCCTCCTTCCTCTCTCCGCGCTCATCGCCAGAGTACGGATCCGTCACTCAGTCCCCCAAATTCTCCAACTTCCGCGCCCGATTCCCTCTACCCCAACTTCAGTCCGCCAGGGTACTATTTCCGCCCCGGATTCGGCAACGGCAGCAGCTCATGGCATGTGCACTTGCAGTACGGCGGGTGGTGCAACACCCTGGGGGACTGCAGGTGGCGCAGCCACACGTGGCTCGGCTCTTCTAACGAGACTTTGCAAAACCAGAACCCGTGGAAATTCGTGAGTGCTGACTTGAAACAGTTTGTCACTAAGCGTGAAAAAGGTATTCGCACAAATCTGGTTGAGCACAAAACCTCACAAACTAATTTCAATTCTTACATTAATAACTCTTTCCAGAATCACTGCTTTCTTCTTACCAGTTGCAGAAACATGATACGATTTTTTTTTTAAATGTTTAATGTTAAGTATCACCGAAGTGAACAAGCATATACTACCGTAACGGTCGTAACCGTTGCTGGAGGAACAGAGGGTGAGAAACTGTTCCAGATAGGACATCTAGGGCAGGGTGATGCTCGCCCTCCGCCTGGACCACGACACGATGAAATTGTTACACCCTTGCCTGCAGGCGAACTGGGGTTACATGGGGATTCTCAGCCTGAATCCCGTCATGAATCCGCGTTTTTACAATTGGAATCTTGTGGTCCCAATTTACTGCGATGGCGGCGGGTTTGCCGGGCGGGCGGGGTTCAAGAACTGGAGCGCGACCGAGGGAGTGTATTTGGATGGTTGGAAAATCATCAAAGCTGTTCTCACAGGTGTGTTCGCAATTTCCGAGGTCCAATTTTACTCGTTTCTGAAATCACCGAGACTGTTTGCAGGGTTCCCTTGACTGCATAAATCAGCTTACATCATCTTTCACCGTGACTTACAAGTTCAGCATCGCCCAGAATGAATTGCAACATTCATGCTCTCTTCGTGTCAATATGCTCGTTTGTCCTATTTTCCTTTCCCTGTGACTTCAATCTTTCTGTACAGAAGCCCAAAACTCGTCTGCTGGCTATTTTGTTGAAATATATATTGCACCACATTCAAAGACTTCTTTCACCAACGACCTGTGTGAATCTGGTCAGACGTGACAGATTTCAAGGGCCTGAAGACGGCCTCCCAGGTGCTGCTGTCGGGGGTGTCGGCGGGAGCAGAGGCGGTGGTGACTCTGTGCGACCAGCTGCCCGCCCTCGTGCCCTCCGCCAAAACCACCAAGTGCCTCATGGACTCGGGATTCTTCCTCGGTGAGAAATGGGTCATGTTGGTGCGGATAACCCTGGCTTTCCTTCCACCACCAAGTGCCTCATGGACTCGGACTTGGTGTGCGACATTTCCCCTCCCTCAGTGACATTTCTCCCTCTGTCATGCATAACCCTGGCCTCCCTTCAACCACCAAGTGCCTCATGGACTCGGGCTTCTTCCTCGGTGCGTTCTCTCCCTCGCCCCTCTTTCATGGATACTGCTCTGTCTTCCCTTGCACCACCAAGTGCCTCATGGACTCAGGATTCTTCCTCGGTAAGAAATATGTTCCTCTTTCATACACTGCCCTACCTTCCCTTGCACCACCGAGTGCCTCATGAACTCGAGCTTGTTCCTCTGTGAGCCTACTCCCCCCTCTCTCTATCCTCACTTCCTGGATTCCACCATCCTTTCAGCCACCAGGAACCTCATGGACTCAGCCTTCTTCCTCTGTGAGTCTGCTCTCCTCACCCTGCTTTCTCCCCTCATTCCTCAGCCACCAAGTGCCACATGATTAGTAAGAAATCTGTCCCACTTTCATGGATAGCCCTGGCATCCCTTCCACCACCAAGTGGCTCGTGCTTGCTCGTTTCTTCTCACCAGATAAAAAACTGACCGACTCTCTTTGAGCCGGGTGACCGACTCTCTTTGAGCGGACTCTCTTCTGTTTGAATCTATGGTCTCTGGATTCCGTCTGACTCAGTTTGACCCTGTTCACTCCAACTGGCTCAGTTTGACCCAGTGGACTCAGTTTGACTCGGCTGTTTCTGTCTCACTTCTTTGTGTACCTAGCACCCAAACCCTGGCATTGGACGTGGACCAGCAACCAGCGTTCCGCAAGAGAATCCAGCAGGTGGCGGATCTGCATGACTTCGTGTGGACGACCACATATCTGACTCTGCTTGACCCTGTTGACTCTCGTTGACTCGGTTGCTTCTGCTCCACCCATTCATGCAGACGCATTGGACGTGGACCAACAACCAGCGTTCCGCAAGAGGATTCAGCAGGTGGCGGAGCTGCATGACTTTGTCGGCAACCCTCGATGCAGCAGAGGTGAGTGAGTGCTGCAAGTGCTTTCAGGGGTGAGTGGAAGTGCGTTCAGAGGTGAGCGGCAGGCGAGCGGGGGTATAAAGGGTTGCTGCAGCACTTGTCTGTGCTGCATGATTTCGTCGGTGACCCTCGATGCAGCAGAGGTGAGAGTGCAAGCGCTTCCACGGGTGGATATGAATTGCTTGCTTTTAGCAAGGAGTTGGATGCTGAAGTGGCTCAGCCGCGGTGGCTGAGCTGAGCTGGCACCTGTACACAAGAACCATACTTGACGGGGTATTCCTGTCAATATCAGCAATTCATATATGTTTGTAGCAAGATTTCTGACCAAAAGATTCATATATATGGATACTTGCAGTCCTCATTTCCTTCCCAGGTAAGAACTCCATCACTGTCGCATCACATCGCATGGCCTCGTTTCGCCTTCATCCCCCTCGAGTCCATCCAAATCACTGTGTTACAGTGTGTTGCCGCAGCTTCCATTCTCCATCCCTCCCGAAAGCTGCTTTCCCTTCACGCCCTCTGTCCCGTCCTTCAAATCGTCCCTCGTCGTCAATTCTTCATCCTGTCACTCCCTTTCCCAACAGCCACTAACGAGATTATGAAGAGGTGCTGCTTCTTCACAGAGTAACTCCCTCCCGTTCGTCCGATCCTCCTTCCTCCATCGCTCTCTGAATATGCTTTCTGCCATAGTTTCTCTTCATCCTGCCACTCCCTTCCCACAGCCACCAACGAGACCAAGAAGTGGCGCTGCTTCTTCCCAGAGTACTCCCTCCCGTTCGTCCGATCGTCCTTCTTCATCGTCAACTCACTGTTCGATGCCAGGGCCCTTACACTTGGTAACCAGCTGCCGGCGAGAAACATGACATACACTTATGCGTGTCTACAGGAAATTATGGCTATGCCTAGCCTGAGGCGCTCCATTCCAAGCACACCTGCTAAAAATCTCGCAGCTAGGAATACAAATAGGAAGTGTACGCTCGAGGCAAGTAGGGCTGTGCTTGCATGCTCGCAGAAAATGTGGACGACTGTAGGTAGGTTGGAGGATAAAAAACTGAAGGCGTTTCTTACTTGGTCGACCAAGCATGGAATCATGGTGGATGGCGCTTGGGCCACCATGAAAGAAGAAGGGGTGTTTTTGCGTGATGCTGTAGCGAATTGGTATTTTTCTCGATAATACTAATTTTGTACTGAATTGAAATATATAACATCGTATACGGTTTCTAACCATTTTGTTTCTAGCATCCAGTAGCCAACTCATGCCATTCTAAGTCTCTAACCAGGTTTTGCATTGGTCTAGGCCAGGATTTTTTGTTTTACTAGGTTATCACCACCATACAAAAAACATATATGCTTATTTTTGGTACATGTCAGGTGTAAGGAATTTTCTCGACATCCCTTACCGCGACCAGCAACATCGCGTACAGCAGCAGCCGTTGTTCGCGCGTTACTGCTAACGGGGCTTCGCCGACTTCGCACGCACTTTTTCACCAAACCATGCATTGCTGGTACAGCCCAGTCAGCCTACGCTTTGAGACTAGCCCCAAACCTCGATGTTTGCCTAGCACTAGCTAGCTCTCACGCACTGCGTAACCATTGCATGTTTTCGCACATAAGTATTCGCTCATTCCTTCACTCATAGTTTATATCCTTTGCCCACATAGTGCAATCCTTGCTAACTCGTTCTATTGCACCCACTTGGTATCCACAGCCACCTTCCCTTCGGACCGCGCATCTCCGCAACAAGAGAAATGAACTTCTGATTTTTGCTCGAAGGGACTCACGCCCCTTAGCACCCAGGAGCCGCTGTTCTCGCGATCTCTTGTAAACGCGTGCAGCCACGACTGCGCCTAGAACTAAGCTGAGCCGACACCCTTCGACATGGCCGAGCATATCGACGTCGTGAGTCTCATGCAGGAGCAACTGAACAAACTGCTGCAGCAACTGCGCGAAAATTCCGAGGAAATCGCGGCATTGACGGCTGAACGAATGTCCCTGCAAAACGACGGCGCACGAGCACAATAGACACAGTCACAGACACAAGGCACGCACGGACAACCCGCACGACAGGCATCACAACATGGAAGCGCGGGGCAACCCTCGAGCGCGGCTAGTGATGGCATCGCCCGCAACGACGGAGATGATGACCACGGCGCGACACACCCCGGAGCGACGAATGCGGCCAGAAGCCAACCTCGCATTACGATTTCGGTGCCGAACGGCGACTCAGCACTGCCGTCGCTGATGCCGCTAAAGCTGCAGCGTCCGCCTTGCTTTGACCCGAGTTAACGAGGTGGTCCTACTGTTCAGGCATGGTTATTCACCATGAACGTGTTTTTCGACGCGAACTACGTCTCGGACGATTCGGCGAAGACTCGCTACGCCGTGTCGCTGCCGCGAGGACCCGCCATGGACTAGTGGCACGCCATCGTCACGAAGCCGGTGGACTACGCGACTCTACCGACACGGGAAGGACAAACCAGACCCTGGGCACCGTCGTATTTCCTGGAGGTGCCCCAATATCGCACGTGGGACGCGTGGTGCGCAGGTCTGCGCACACGATTCGAGCCAATCGCAGCTTCGATCGTGGCGCGTCAGAGGCTCTGCAATTGGCGCCAGCTCGGTTCCGTCCATGGCTACACCAGCGGGTTCCTGGCGCTGTGCGAGCAGGTGGGCTATATGCACGAGGGTGAACGCATTGTTTGCTACATTGGCGACCTGAAACATGAAATTGCGCAAGAAATCTAGCTCCGCAACGTCACTGAATTCCAGGACATCCTCGCCATGGCGGAGAAGCTTGACTTCTTACGCCGACCGAGACCGGGGTCCTACGGCAGCAACAACAACTGGGGACATCGATCTCGTGGGACGAACGAGCACGCCACGATACGTGCTGTCGCAGCAAATGCCGCTGCCGCACCGTTCAAAGGGCGCTGCTTTGCGTGCAACAGGCCGGGACACCGCAAGAGCGAATGCTCGGAAAACGCTAAGGGAAAGGGGGAAGCAGAGCAGCAGGGAAACGCTGGGAGTCAGTAGCAGACGGGCCCTCTACTGACAAGTCACGCCGCTCGCCCGACCCAACCGACCCTCACGGAGTGATCGTCACACAATCGACCACACCCGGCCAAATAAGGAGGGTACCGCAGTAGATAGCCCCATACTGCTTAGTGGGAAAATTGGAACAGACTTAGTTAAAATATTCGTAGACGGGGGAGCCAGCCACGGCCTCATCAACACTTCCACAGCACGGAAACTGAAACTGCCACTGGACAGGTGTTCACATGAGATTGACGCAAGACTGATCGATGGCATGCCACTCGCGTTACGGGAACGTGTGGACCGAGTTCGGATAAGATGCGGGGGTAACTTCACATTTAGCCAGGAAATGCTCGCAACAACCCTCGACGGAACCGACATATTACTCGGCCGTGATTGGCTGCAACGACACAGCCCACGAATCGACTAGACAACGGGCGACTACACTGTGCGAGTGAACGGTAACAACAACGCGATCACAATAAAACGTGCCGTAGCTGCAGGAGCTAACGTGTATGCGGTCGACATTCGAGAAGCCGAGGCAACAGACAAGAGAAGCGATTCACAGAAGCTGCTCGCCGACGTACCGGATGATCTAGCAGGATTACTGAAGCAGTACAGTGGGATCTTCGACGGACGACTTGCTAATAGGACTGCCACCTCAGCGGCCGCACAACCACAGAATAGAACTAGAACCGGGGGCATAGCCGATAGTACAGTGACCGTTCCGATTCACCCTACCTGAACTGGACGAACTACGGAAGCAGCTGGATTACCTGTTCGAAAAAAAATTCATTCGCCCGAGATTGTCACCCTTCGCAGCACTGATCCTGTTCACATCGAAAAAAGATGGGGGATTTTGCATGTGAATCGACTACCGCGCACTGAACTGAGTAACCATCAAGTCCCGTTACCCCATCCCGCGAGCCGACGAACTGATCGACCAATTGCGTACAGTCCGGGTACTTTCGAAAATCGACCTTCGAGGAGGTTACCACCAGATCCGTGTCAGCCCACATGACTGCCTGAAAACAGCTTTCTGAACACGCTACGGATTGCTCGAATACACACTAATGCCCTTTTGGATTGACCAACGCCCCTGCAACCTTCCAAATGACGATGCACGAAGCCTTCCGCTCGCTTTTAGATAAGTGCGTCATCGTGTACTTAGACGACATACTGATTTACAGACAGAGCACAACATCTACTGGACATCGAAGCAGTTATAAAAATACTGAGTGAGAACTGAGTACTGACTAAGTGTGAGTTTCTACAGGACGGACTGGAATTTTTGGAACACATTATTTCAGCTGACGGAGTGGAAATAGACCCGAAGAAGATCGCGACGATTCAAGCTTGGCACGCGCCGACAAATCTGACCGAGCTACGGAGTTTTTTGGGGTTTGTCAACTACGTGCGCCGGTTCGTCCCCGACACGGCGAAGCTGACCGCCCCATTGACTGACCTACTGAAGAAGGGGGTTGAGTACACGTGGGGGGAGAAAGAGCAAGCTGCCTTCTCGGCCCTCAAGAAGATTTTGTGCTCGCCGCCCGTATTGGACATTGCTGATCCACACCGCCCGTTTGAACTGGTCACCGACGCAAGCGATATCTTCGTGAGAGCAGTATTGTAGCAGGACTTCGGGAACGACCTTCAGCCAATCGCGTATGAGTCCCGCAAGCTTCACTCACCCGAACGCAACTACCCGATACACGACCGCGAGATGCTGGCGATCGTGCACGCGTTCAAAGTGTGGCGATGCTACCTTATCGGAGCAGACGTGGCAGTATGCACAGATCACAAATCATTACAGTACCTTCGCGCCCAACCAAATCTCAATCCGCGACAGATCGGCTGGTCGGACTACTTTGAGTCCAACTTCTGCGGAGATAAACTACTACAACGGGAGCTAGACTACGGGCTAGGCACGGGTGCTTGTGTGATCTCAGCATTCCTTAGTCGTTTTCCTAGTGCACATATTGCTTGTTAGTTCACGGGGCAATTTTGCAAGAGTTTCACTAAGAAAGTTGACAACAATAGTAGCAACAACATTGGCATGCAAGACTACATCAAAGCTAGCAAAGCTGCTGGTCGACTTCCAGCGCAGCACGGTCGACCGCGTGCCAGCATGACTTGGTCGACCGCGCTCTAGCAGAGCAAAGTCGCGGCTTGCCAACGTTGCAGGTCCACGGCGTGTCAACACTGCAGCAAATCGGCTGTACAGCGTTGCAACCGCGGAACAACGGTGCACCTGCTTTGCAGGTGCGCGCAGCTGGTTGGTGCACAACTCATTATCACGTGCACAACGCAGACGCCCAGCTCGACTCCACGCCATCGACTGCGCCCACTAGCCACGTCGACCTCGGGATACCACTTCCGAGGTCGTCCTCGCAGAACCACCCCGGCGACCTTCGCACATATCGCCCGGGTATCCCGGTCGACCGGGCAACCACGCCTGGTCGACAAGTTCGGTCGGTCGCCGGCTGCACAAGCTCGGCATCCCAATGTTCGGCGCCCTCCACCTCGGCGCCCTGTTGTTCGACGCCCGGCTGCTCGACGTCGTGTTACTCGACGCCCTCCAGTCCGGCGTCCCCTAACTCCTCTGTCGAGGTCGACATCGGCTCCCCCCCTTCGTCGACCACCCAGGCCCGGTTGACCACCAGGTCGAGAACACTCCTGGTCGACCAACACCAGGTCGACCAGCAATCCTGTTAGCCGACCACCTAAGTCGGCTGCCCCAAGTCGGCGTCACCAGGTCGACGCCCTCCGCAGGTCGACTTCTCAAGTCGACCTCCCCGAAGTCGGCACCATCCTGAAGTCGGCGCTAATGCAGTGACCCCCGTGCAGGTCGACCAACCCTGTCGACCAGCTTGGCCACTGCTGCAGGTCGGCTGCTCCCCTCACATCCGACCACCAAGTTGGCTCCGCCCAAGCGAGGACGGGGCCACACCCAACTCCGGTTGACACTCCCCAGCCCACCCGGCAGTACTTCTCGGAGAACAGCCCCTCGGCGTGCACCCAACACACAGCACGCCGGTCACCGCACCAGCCATGCAAGAGGGCATGGCACCTACTGCTGCACGTCAACATCGTCGTCGCCCACGTCAGCCAAGCGCACCTGGCCGATTGTGACGGAGCACC